AGGAATTTATCCACACAGACAATAATAATTTGAGTTCATCTTCCTCCAGTCCTTCCTCTAGTTTTTGTGTTGGAATCTTATGGGCAGAATTTTGTGTACATCAACATCATACCCACTACAGACTTGACTTAAAATATGTAATTTACAACTTAGCAATTACCAACCCCCAGGTGTCAACACCCTTGCCCGACTCCAAGTACTACTTGAAGACAAGCCTACATCAGACAAACAAGTTATGTGTTAGAACAACATCTGCGAGCGGAGCGGACCGTAGGACGTCTGCAACACAGAAGATGGTCTGGAAGGCTGGGAACACCTTCTCGGAACCAAACTGCATAACATGAAATACTGGCACAACACATGTCAGCCAAAAGTTCAAAACATGCAAGACCCCCAGACGCCGCTTCCACCGATACTACAAACCAGACCCAGCTGTGGTAAGATTCTTGTGAGTTCTATTGCTCCGGATATTGAATGTATGTGAAAAATGTCATTACACGAATTGCAGGGTAAACCATATGCTTCAATTCATGGGGAGATATAGTGCAAGACTATCCGTACTTTGGTTTCCAAAATTGACGTGATTGAATTAGCACTAACACTTCAGAGAATATTGACCTGGTTACATTTGTTAATTTTTATTCACAGGGTGTTTTTATTCCCAGATCATTAATGTCTCCTCTCTACTGCATTCATCATTTAGTTATTTTCCGCACATTCAAGCCAGAACTCCTCTGTTCAACTGGCGCTCATACATCCAGCCTTTTAGGAAAAGCTGCCATACATGGTGTATGCGTCAAAGCGTGTTAGTTGGTTGTTCCTAGCCAAGGCTTAATAGGCTTATACATCAAGCCTCGGTGTGTTCAATGTGTAGTGATGGGTATTCAGCAGAACATGCAGAATAGGCAGCGATAGAGGCTAACACCATTGCCAGGAAACAGGAAAAGTACATTTAGCGTTTTTCCTTCATAGAATTAACGCTAGGTGTACGGTTCAGCGCCATTTTTTATTAGAGTCTATCATATCTGTCCGACATACAGCAAGTTTCATGCTTCCTTAGATCTTCTCTCCGAGGGACGACACCAGGAATAAAATAATTCTCCACCACAACCCCCGCCAAGCCTAGTAAACTCAGCTAAGCCAGCTCTGGAGGCTGGCTCAATCATACATGTGACATCGGTTTTTTCCACTCATGAATGCCAACATTTTTACCATCATCCACTGTTTTAGAATCTTGGTGCGTTTTAACCTCTCCACACACGACTCCGCGTGAACCCCTGAACCAGATGAAGGATTCTTAGTCACTGCGCACGTCCTGGCATGTTGGTTAAGTTACTTCCAAGAGAAACAGGACGCCTGAGCTGCAAGTCTAGCAGCTACGCTCGCGCCTCGCAGCCGTCGACACTAGGCCGGGACGCGTCCTTTGTTCTTGCCCAACCAGCGTGAGAGAAGCAGTGACTTTTAAGGTGGCAACTGCTTTATTCTGTGTTTTTAAGTGTTTTTTTTAAAAACGCCGTGTGCGTGTGCGTTTGTTTTGGAGAGGAGGAGACCTGTGGATAATTTGTCTCCCGATAGAAACCTCCTGAACCATGAACACTGAAGAAATCTGATTGTGCTTCTAGCAATTTCTCCCCTAGCAGCAGTAATTACATATTGTACGTTCAGTGCGCTTCACTAATCTGATGAAACAGAAGAGTAGGATTAACTTTCAGGCTGCTGTTTCTGAACAGGTATTGTATACTTTCATAAATATACAGACTGAAATACATCCAATGCCTCAATTCACTTGATTTAACAGACTTCAGTGTTAAATCAATTAAAATACAGTGTTTCTCTCTTCATATGATAAGAATTAAGTCTTAAAGGCAGATTTTTATATTCGCCCTGGGTTAAGTGCAACATTACATGTATGATTCCTAATAAAAAGCCTGCATACACTCTAAACTGTTATTTATAGTCTAAAGTTGTTTCCTGCATGTATTCAGTCTATACTCAATACACATTGGTTCTGGCTGATGAAAATAAAAAGGTAGGGAAAATGATCTGAATAAAAGGTATATTGGTAACAACATTTAGTTCACTTCCTTTTGAATTCATACCATAATGATGCACCCAGGTCACTCGCCATTGAGGCTACTCACATGGCAGACACAATAGCAAGGAGAAATATACTTTGTTGTCAAGTGTTACGGCACTCTTATGTCAATTAACTGCGCAATGAAATGAGAAGTTACACTCATTTAGAAAATCCTAATCACGTTCTTTGTTTCCTTGATGGCATTTTGATCAGGTTGAATAGCGATGACTTGACTTTTTCAAGTTTGTATTGACATGATTGCAGTCATTCAGTAGAATTTTAAATGCTGCCTTTCATATTTCATTAACATTGTCACATCAGCGAAGGCTACTGACTAGTGGGATTCTTTGCTAGGGGCACAAATTGTAAGATGAACATGCTTCATTTCCTTTTCTCTGTGTCAGTCTATTAGTTTGTGCTTTGCCAGTTGTCAACAATAACAATAGGATTGTAAGAAAATAATGATATACTTGAGTATTGAGTTATGTTTTGTGATATTGTATCAATTCTCAAAAACAAAGTATCCTAAGATCTTAAGGCTAAAACTCACTGACGCTGATGTCTGTCAAGCAACGCCCCTTGCACAGACAGGAAGCGACATGCTGAGGCTTGTCTGTCTCCTGGATCCGGTCAGCAGGCTTGTGGTAATAGCACATATGTATTGCAAATATTCCTTTGCTGTTACTACTTAATGCTGGTACTAATTTAGAGTAGCATGTTATAATTTATAACATCAGGTGCAGCAACGCTGGAAATAGGACAGTGGCATGAAGCGACTCAGGGCGACGCGTCCATTCATGTCACCATGTGTCTAGCCACGTCAAAACAAACTTCCCTATTCGCCGCCGCTGTGTTGTAGCCTTTATACCACTGTTTTGTAGGCTGTGATGGATTGCCATCACTGAGGCCAATGCAATACGCACTTGATGAAACGATACTGCCCCTACAGTTTGATTCAATGTGTCAATATGATGCAAAAGAATTTGATGCTTTGCAGTTCAATATGTTACAGATAGTTTGATTTTATTTTTTGGTTCTTCAGCAGCTTGAGAAACATTAGAGGAATCAGTCTAAATATACAATTATTTGTCATTTCTGTCATCATCTCTACTAATAATTATATATAGATACATTGCTTGTCAAAGCAAAGATGTCAGAAACAATGCATTCCGAGTTCATACCAAATTGTACCCAATGCACACTTTTTTAACTGGGGCAATTACATCTTGAATCGTGCACTGATGCTAATTAATGAATCTTACCATCCTTACCGTTTTGGATTGACGACCAATATTTTACTACCAGTCGAAGCAGACAGCCACCCATCTAGAGCCAGGGTCTGCTCAAGGTTTATAGGTTCTGTTAAAAGTAAGGTTTTCCTTGCCACTGTCGCCAAGTATTTGCCCATGGTGGGAATTGTTGTATCTGTATATAACTTTACAAGGACTTTGGTGCTGTACAAATAAAACCGAATTGAATTGAACTACATTATTCTCACAATTGTCAACAATGCTCTGTAACAGCCCAAACTTACACATTAACTGCTTCTCACCAAGTCATAAAATAGATCTAATATGTTGTATCATTTTCTGTGTCTTTGTCTTTTTCTTTTAGTTTCTCAGATGGTCTTTGAAGAGGTCAGTGCCATTCAGGAGAACCTGGAGATCGAGAGGACATGCAGAGAAAGTGCTGAAGCCCTGGCCTCCAAGGTATACCAAGGCTTCATCTATAGACAGATACTGTCAACAATACGGCTTAAAGGCAATGAACCAGTCTCATACCAGCTGTGGTATTTCTATGATGACTTTGTTTTAGTAATCCTGGACTCAATACAACATTCTCACAACCAAGAAAATTGTCTAATTTAATTAAAACAAGAAAGGAATAATGTAATCAGAATTGTAATTCTGTTGATTTAGAACAAGTTTAGCTAAACAAATACTACAGTATCAAATCCGCTATCTAAGATTACTCTCTGGTCAGTGTATTCTAGTAACCATCACTTTGACACATTCAGTGTGCATGTTGCAATCAAAAGCACTCTGTGGTCCTCCAGTTCTGCTGCTGTCCCCATATCTTAGCGCCTGAAATTGCATTGAATTCTTTTGATTCAGAGCACACGTTTTTGGAGTCCTTGCTAAAATGTGAGTTGTGATTGAGAGTGGGGGAGCCTGGCACATAGTGATTTTGCAGCCCACTGGTGTTGAGCTTATCACTGTAATCATTTCTCATTCAATTTCTGGACAAAAGCCCTCACAGTCCACCTGGTTGGCCCAGATCTTAGGCAGTGGGAGGCTGAGGGAGAATTATGGTGAAGGTCAACTTTTCAACTGGGCCTTCAGTCCTTCTTTCCTTTGGGTTGTTTTTTATCTTTCCATCTTACAGAGGTGACAATTAGGATTTTTACTGCCCCAGATGACCATAAGGTATCTGGGTATGTTGACTAAGTTGCTGATCAATACTTAACAGCTTTTGAATTATTTGGCTGATTGCTGAGATTTCTGGCTTTGAAAAATCTTTTGACTCTCAAGACACTCCCAATACCTTTTACTCATCTATTGACACTACCATGCATTACTACAATTCATTTTACGTTTTTTGAAGGTTAAAAAGGTTAACCTTTAAACAAAAAAAAGGCATGACAGTACTGTTATTGGGTGTTTCAACCTTTATGAATTTTATCATTAATCTATAATATATATAAACTACACAAAATTGCATATTGTCGGATCATGTTTATTTTTTATTTTTACATATAACTCGCCTTGAATTTGTCTCTATTGTGACACAAGGTCTATATACCTACACTGTAAAACCTGACAACACATCCTAATAAAATAAGTAACATATCATAAATTAATTAATCCTCAAAAAAAAGGGAGTCACTCATTCACATAATTAAACCCAACTCAAAAATTAATTGTTGAAGCAATTCACTTGTTTTGCATGCACTTACACCGATCAGCCCTAACATGACTACTGACAGGTGAAGTGAATAACACTTGATTGATGAACATGAACATGAACATTTTGTTGATAAACACAAGGGCGGCTGTGGCTCAGAGGTAGAACAGGTCGTCCACTAATCAGAGGTTGTTTGTTGGATCCCTGTCTCCTCTGGCTGCATGTCGAAGTATCCTTGAGCAAGATACTGAAAAAGCCCAAAACTCCAAATCGCTGTGTCATTGGTGTGTGGATGTGCATGAAAGGGTTTTGTGGCATTTAGTAGCAACCATTTTGATAATCAGTGAATTTTAAGTTGTTTTTAACGCATGTCAGCTATTGTGACAATGATGTAATAATTTGCTTTAGAGTAAATCACCATGTTTTTACTCAGTAAAAAAAAAAATTGTAAAGAAGATAAGATTAAGTCACTTTATTCAGATAAATTCT